TGTACAAGGTTATACCTCTCTGGATGTCTCATTACATGACCGAAATAATATAACTTTCGAATTTTTATCGTTTTTGATATTTCTGTGCTCTTTTTCATTCGATATAAAACTATTTTATTTCTAATTCGATCAACTCAACTTATCCGCAATACTCGTCGATAAATCCACATCTCAAAGGCCTCTAATTGTTTCATTAATGTCTCTGTAAGGCTTCAGCTCTCCATACCATACAGCAATGTGGAGAATATGTAGCAGCGTATTAATCTGATTTTAAAGTTTAACGTAATATCTCTATTAATTAGAATTTTCTTTAATTTATAGCAGGTGGCTCTGGCTTTTTCAATGCGTATTCTTATTTCTTGATTTATATCCCAGTTATCGTTAACATTTGCACCCAAGTAGGTAATATTGTGGACTCTTTCTAACTATATTCCATCCGCTCTGATGTTCGTTGGTTGTAACTCCGTTTTGCTGACAACCATAAGTTTTGTCTTAGAAATATTAAGTTTTAGCCCATATTCATCACATGCTTCGGCTAATCTGTTTATAAATCGTTGCAAGTCTTCTTCATTGGAGGCAATAAGTAACGTGTCGTCTGCATATCTGAGATTGTTGACATTAATTCCGTTGATTTTAATGACTGTATCTTCAACTAAGCCTTCTTTTAAAATAAATTCGGAGTAGACATTAAAAAGTAGAGGCGATAGAATACATCCTTGCCTCACTCCACGTCGTATTTCCACTGCCTCCGTCGTGTTGTGTCCAGCTCGTATGTTTGCACATTGATGCCAATACAAACTTTTGATAATACGGAGGTCTCGGTCATCAATTTCCACCTGTTGCAAGACACCTATAAATTTGTCATGGTTTACTCGGTCAAAAGCCTTTTCGAAGTCGATAAAACACATAAATACTGATTGTTCTATATCCCTAAATCTTTAAACCATGACCTGCAAACTGAAGAGTGCTTCTCTGGTTCCACGGTTGTTTCTGAAACCAAATTGTGTTTCACTTAGTTGTACTTCTATTTTGTTGTAAATTTTTGAATGCAGTATTCTTAGGAAAATTTTTAGTACAATCGCTACACTCGTTCTACACTGTTTGGCATTTATTTTTTTCGGTATCATTACAAATATTGACAGTAGCCAGTCTTTTGGTATATGTCCTGTTTCGTACATTTTATTAAAGATTAGAATTGAATGTTTGCCGTTATCGTCGAGCAGTTTGATTATATTGCTTGTAATTTCATCTGGACCGGTTGCTTTCCTATTCTTTAATAGCTTTATAGCTCTTTCCATTTTATCGAGTGTTATGTTTGGACCAGTCGATATATTTTTGATTTGAATTTCTGTTCTATCGTCATCAAACAGCTCCTTAATATATTCTTTCCACCTCTCTAATCTGTCTTGTTCATTGATTATAATATTTCCTTGTTTATCAAGTAAACTACTTGAAGTTGATCTGTATGTTCCAGTTATTTCTTTCGCCTTTTTGTACACATTAAACGTGTCATTCTTTTTCTGCATTTCTTCTATTTCAAGATATTTGTTGCTGTACCATTTTTCCTTTGCATCCCGGATTTTCCTTCTGATTTCTTTATGAATTTTATTTTTTTATGAAGTATTATTACATCATTGATATAAAATGAAAAAAAATATATGTTGATTTTCCCGGATTTTCCAAAATTTCCGGGGGGTGAAAATTATGTCATCATTATTAATACTGCGACAGACTATTCCAGCCAAATTTAAAAAAAAAAGTAAGTTTTTATGGTGAATTTCAAATGGACTCAATTTTTCCGAGGTTTCCCATATTTCCCGGCCAGTGAAAACCATTTAGTTATTCATATTTCGACGAGCTACCCCAGATTAAAAAAAGAGGCTTCTAGCTGCAATGGAAGCAGAGATAATGTAATTTTTTCCTACGTGTTTCAATTTGAAGTTATTACAATTGTTTATAAAGCAAAAATCATACCCTTTTTCAAACGGGTATTTTGTGAAATTTCGATGAAAACGCAATATGCATTTAACTTCTGAGACAGTTTAAGTCTTAGATATAAAATTTGCTAAATGTGTCTAGCATCATTAATAGAGCAAGTTCAATAGTTTAAATATTTAGACTCAGGGATAAATAATTTAAATAACTTTTAAAATATTTGACCCATCGGGGGGAAATTAGCAAAATTTAAAAGACGGTAATTCCTCGATGCTCAAAAATGTATTAATAACATTTTATTTTGTTAAAAAAAAATTTAATTGATGGATTCGACCGTTACTTGATGGAAATTCATTTTATGTAACAATAAAACACTGAAAACTTTGTTTTCACACTTCCACAAAATTTATTTTAAATCTTATCACTACAGCTGTTTCGGCTGATTGCCTTTCTCAAGTGATCTATTTTTGGCTTGGGTTTACAAATTTATAGTCTCTAATGAAATAGGTTGAGGAGGGGAGAACTGTTTGTCTCAAGTTGGTCATTCAGAATTATATCTGTGTTTTTTAATTTGTTGATTTCCATAGATTCTAACAAAGATAGCTTAAGGCCTTTATTTTGAATGTGAAGAATTTTAAATTTGTCATTAAAAGAATGATTATGATCTAGAAGTGAAGTGCGTATGTCGAATCTGTTTTTCTATTCTTGAAAGCCCTTTTATGTTCTGCTATTCGTTTATCAAAGTTTCTACCAGTTTGACCGATGTAAGTTTTTAGGCAGTCGTCACATTGAAGTTTGTACACACCACTATTTAAGTGTTTTTTATTTTGGCTCTTGTTATTTTTAATATATTTGCCTAGGTTGTTATTTGTTCGGAAAGCTGGTGTTATTCCTTTCTTTTTTATGTGTTTGGCAATTTTTGTTGTTATTTTGCCTGTATATGTAATCGAGCAGAAGGTACTGGGTTTTTTCTCTGGTGGTGGAAATACTAATGTCAGGGCTTTCTTGTGTAGTTTTTGATTTAACATTTTATTAATTGTTTGTTCGTTGTATCCGTTGTTTACTGCTATTTGCTTAATTATATTTAATTCTGTCTCAAAGTTGTATTTTGACATCGGAATTTCTGTCAATCTATGTAACATACTATGATAAGCTGCCAGTTTATGTTGTGTTTGATGGGATGATGAATTGTGTATAGTCGTGTCAGTATGGGTAGGTTTATGAAATATGGAGAAGTCATGTTTGTTTTGAAGTCTGCTAATTTTTAAATCTAAAAAATTTATGGATTGATTTTGTTCTGTTTCTATTGTAAATTCAATATGACTATGAAGTGAATTAATATACGATAAAAATTGGTCGAGTTGCCTGTTAGTTCCTGTGAAACATACCAGTACGTCGTCTACGTATCTCCACTAATATAAAAACTGTTTGAATACGGGATGTTTTGAAATCTTTGTCTCTAGATGATCCATAAAAATATCTGATAGCAATGGGCTTAGAGGATTACCCATTATAAGTCCTGCACTGTTATTTGTATATATTTTATTATTAAATTCAAAGTAGTCCTGGTTTATGCAAACTTCAAGAAGATGTAAAATTTCAGATGTAATTATTGGATTTGTACTATTTTGGTCTAAAAGGTTTTTTACTAGAATAAAAGTTTCTATAGGAGGGATACTAGGAAAAAGATTTTTCACGTCAAATGAAATTAATCTGGAGTTGTTAGGTAATTGAAAATGTTGTATTTTATTAACGAGTTCTATAGAATTAAATATAATTAAGCAAATAGCAGTAAACAACGGATACAACGAACAAACAATTAATAAAATGTTAAATCAAAAACTACACAAGAAAGCCCTGAAATTAGTATTTCCACCACCAGAGAAAAAACCCAGTACCTTCTGCGTGATTACATATACAGGCAAAATAACAACAAAAATTGCCAAACACATAAAAAAGAAAGGAATAACACCAGCTTTCCGAACAAATAACAACCTAGGCAAATATATTAAAAATAACAAGAGCCAAAATAAAAAACACTTAAATAGTGGTGTGTACAAACTTCAATGTGGCGACTGCCCAAAAACTTACATCGGTCAAACTGGTAGAAACTTTGATAAACGAATAGCAGAACATAAAAGGGCTTTCAAGAATAGAAAAACAGATTCGACATACGCACTTCACCTTCTAGATCATAATCATTCTTTTAATGACAAATTTAAAATTCTTCACATTCAAAATAAAGGCCTTAAGCTATCTTTGTTAGAATCTATGGAAATCAACAAATTAAAAACACAGATATAATTCTGAATGACCAACTTGAGACAAACAGTTCTCCCCTCCTCAACCTATTTCACTAGAGACTATAAATTTGTAAACCCAAGCCAAAAATAGATCACTTGAGAAAGGCAATCAGCCGAAACTGCTGTAGTGATAAGATTTAAAATAAATTTTGTGGAAGTGTGAAAACAAAGTTTTCAGTGTTTTATTATTTAATAAAATTTATAAATTAGTGCAAAAAACTGCTTTTTTTGCAAATATCCCTGTAAATTATTTATCAGTTTTAATTTAAAAAACTGGAAGATATTCTTGATATAAAAAAATGATATAATAAATATTGTTTATGTAAAATATAAGTGAAAAAACTTATAGACAAAAATCAAATTGTGACCATAAATTATTGTTTAAAAAAACGCAAGGTAAAAATACGAGACCTTTTCATCTATTCGTTACCTAGTAACCCCCACCTATGCCTTAAAAGCTTCAGATATCTGCGAAAAATGTTGTCGTGAAATCGATGATTTTTGCATAACCAGACTGGGCTAATATACCTGGAGTATCCAATGTCCCGAGAAAAATGTATTTCGCTGAAGTAAAAAGGGCTTATATGATTAAAAATGAGTAAAAATGGTGTTAACGCTACAAAATATATTTGTCCGATCTATAATCGTTATAATTATTGTTGTTATAAAAATATATCAAATACTGGTATATTCCTGTTACGAAAAAGTCCTGTAAAAAAATATTATTATATTTTTATTTAAAAAAGAGTGAAAATCACTTACTTGTGTCAATATTTCTTTGTAGGTGTTTGGCGATACGATGCCGGGCATCGTTGTATTCTAAATGCAATCCCAGCCTTAATATCGTCGGATTTTTCTCGATGAGTTGGGTGATCTCCATTTCAATTTTGTTACCCAACACCTGTGACCTCTGTAACAATACAATTTGGCATATAATAGAGGATATATTCTCGTAGCAGAATGAATAGACTGAAAATCGCAATTTAATATATCGTTTTCTTGAATGTAAAGACTACGATCCCCTTCCCATATCAGTTGGCCCACCTATGGAATTTGCAGTCGATTACCATAAACAAATGATACTCTGCATGTTTTTATTAAGTTTCCATAATATGGCATTTTTATTCATATTTATTAAAAACATTACCCTTATGGTTTTTATATAATTTCAACAATAAAAAAAATCACGAAACCCTGGCTGTACTTATGTCAAAATACGGTGATTTTTCATAATTACGTTAAATCCTATGAAAAAATGACATTAAAACAATTATATTGTCAGTTAGTGTCAAATGTGTTTTGTAGCATTGTAAAGCTTTTTGCCGTTTGTGGATTATACAATGAGTACAAGAGATGGACAGAATACATCAATGAACAGTTAAAAGACAGTAGAACAGAACAGATGGAGATATAAGTAGAAGAGATATGGTTTTAAAGGTATTAAAAGAGGAAATTAAAATGGCATTAAAAAACGGCAAAAATGGTAAAGCAGCAGTAGTCAGACCAAATCCCTATAGAAATCTTAGAATCCATAAATGATGAAACCTTAGACATTATAGTAGACTTATTTAACTCAGTATACAAAACAGGACATTATAGTAGACTTAATTTAACTCAGTATACAAACAACCGAAACATGGATATGAATGTTGATGTGCATGTTTGTTACGTTGATTTTGAAAAAGCATTTGACAAAGTAAGACATCAAAAATTAGTCCAAATTCTAAAGACAAAAAACATAGACTATAGGGACTTACGAATAATAACAAACCTCTATTGGAATCAAAGGGTCGTAATAGATAATGAACCCAGTCCAGAAATTTAAATCAGGAGAGGAGTTAGTCAGGGATTTATTATGTCACCATTACTATTTAACCCTTTTAGTGCTGATGACGCACCGGTGTGTCATCAGTTTGGTTTTAGCCGGGCGCATGACGTACCGGTGCGTTATATGCCATTCGAACTAAAATGGTCAAATTTTTGTCAGCATTTACAGTTATTGTTTAAACACGGATTGAGCACGTGGCTAGAAGGTTAGGTTTATTGATATTTAGCGCCGTTCGAGAATTTATTGTCTAATTAGTGGATTATTGAATAATTATTATGAGTGACATAAAATTTAGTGAACCAAGCACTTCAGGAGGAAAAAAACGTAAAATAGGGGTACAGAACCGTAAATACCTTACAGAAGATGACCTTAGGCGTATTCTTGAGGAGTCAGATTTTGAAGAAAGTGATGATAATCTAGAATTCGAGGACTCTAATGATTCTAGCGACGAGGAATTCTTTGATGAGACAATTGCAGGTAATTTATCTAATAGTTAGAGTTTTTTGTATATATTTATTTAATTATTAAACAAGTACACTCTACAATATAATATACTTATATTGATTATTTGTATTATTATTTGTAGATACAACTGAAAATAATACACCTGCGAATGTTCAGAGCATATGGAGCACATTTCCAAATCTAAATAACTTTTCGTTTGAAAGAAGATCTGGTTTAGTTGCTGAAAATTTTGATATAAATTCTAGTCCGTATGATTATTTTAGATTATTGCTAGATGATAGTTTGTTAGAACTTATTGTCACAGAAACAAACCGATATGCAGAAGACGTTTTTCTTTCCCAAGTTTGCTTTGAGAATTCACGAATAAATCGTTGGAAACCACTTACAACAGAAGAACTATTAACATTCATAGGTCTCATTTTACATACCGGAACTATTAAATGTAATGTCCTTAGGGATTATTGGAGAACTCACTGGCTTTTTGGGTTACCATGTTTTTCACGATACATGAGCCGTGACAGATTCATGTTGGTTTTAAGATGTTTACATTTCTGTAATAATCGGAATCAAGGTGCAAATATTCCAGAAGATCGACTGTATAAAATTCGCCCTCTACTTATATATTTTGAAGAAAAAATGGCAGCAACGTATTATCCAACAAAAAATTTGTCATTAGATGAATCGATGTTACTTTGGAGAGGTAGGCTCATCTTTCGCCAGTATATAAAAAACAAAAAGCATAAGTACGGTATAAAACTGTACATGCTAACCGAATCTGAAGGCTTCGCCCTAAATTTGTTAGTTTATTCCGGTCAAGGGGACGTATATGGAGGAATAGGACACACGGAAAAAGTTGTAATGACTTTGATGCAAAGATATTTAAATGCTGGACATTCCCTATATATGGATAATTTCTACAATTGTTATAATCTAGCAAAAAAACTATTAGAAGCAAAAACGTATTGTACAGGAACACTAAATGTAAAAAGAAAAGAAAATCCTCAAGAAATTATAACATCAAAACTCAAGAAAGGAGATATGAAAGCGGTTTATAGAGACGGTGTGATGGTTGGAAAGTGGAAAGATAGAAGAGACGTTTTATATATATATATATATATATATATATATATATATATATATATATATATATATATATCTACCGAGTTTGAAAGTGTTCTAATAGAAACAGTAAACAAACGTGGTATTTCAAAAGAAAAACCACAACCTATAGTTGAGTATAACAAATACATGGGCGGAATTGATCATACAGATCAAATGATGTCCTATTATCCCAGCATTAGGAAAACGCTGCGATGGTATAAAAAATTGGGGATACACATCATTCAATTAATATTACATAATTCTTTCATTCTTTACAATAAAAATCATTCGGGGCGACGCCTCTCCTATTATGATTTTCGGTTAGCAGTGCTTGAAAAAATTCTTCCTAATGTTCAAAATACAAAAAATGAACTCTCAGCCACTTTACCAAATCACTTGCCTGAAAAAATTGAAGTAAGAAATGAATCCGGCAGAGTTTTGCGGAAACGTTGCAAAATATGCTGGCGAAAAAATATCAGAAAAGACACGTCGTACCATTGTAAAAAGTGTCCCGATTTACCAGGTTTGTGTGTGGGAAAATGCTTTGAAGAATATCACAAATAACAATTGTTTACTTTTATGTTTGTTTTTCTTAATAATTGTAATTTGATCATAAATATTTTTTCTGTATTACTTAAAAATAAAACATGTGTTTCCAGATGCATATTTTTTATTTAAATACTTTTATTTAGAATAAATATGAACAACGCACCGGTGCGTCATGAGCACACCGCACAACAATTTGGTTTGGCGTGCTCATGACGCACCGGTGCGTTATGAAAAATAAAATAAAGAGAAACCTTTTACTGTATTTAACTATGTATATTTTTCACATAGGGAAAGATATATAATTATTATTAACAAAAAACGTCATAGGCTATCTGGAATGTCCTTCAGAAGTAGTTAGCATTGAATGGGTTAATGTATATAGTGAAGCCATTTTTGAAAAAGCATTACTATCTCAAAGTGAAGGAATAATAATTAACGGAAGATCTATAACCAACATAAGATATGCAGATGACACCGTGATTATGGCAAGCTCTGCTGAATAACTCCAATTACTGCTAAACAAAACAAACAGTTTCTGTGAAAAAGATGGACTAAAAATGAATATAAAAAAGACCAAATACATGTTAATGACAAAGAAAACAAATATACTAACAAACATACATTTGGGAAATTTACTGATAGAAAGGGTTGATAAATACAAATACCTAGGAACCTGGATTTCAGACAATACTGATCAAACAATCGATATAAGAGCCAGGATAGAAATAGCAAGAAATGCGTTTGTAAAAATGAAAACAATTTTTGCAAAAAAGACCTTAAATTAGAACTGAGAGTAAGAGCACTGAGATGCTACGTGTTTTCGATACTGCAATATGGACTTCAAAGCTGGACATTGAAGCAAGAACACATAAATAAGTTACAGTCCTTTGAAATGTGGTGTTACAGGAGGATGCTTAGAATAGCATGACACAGAAGAAAACTAACAGAAGTATTGCGAGAAATGGGCAAAGAATGCGAAATAATAAACACAATAAAAATAAGAAAGTTACAATATCTGGGACACGTAATGACGGGACAGCGATATGAACTGCTAAGGCTGATAATACAGGGAAAGATAAGAGGAGGATAGGAAGAAGGAGAGTGTCATGGTTAAAGAATTTAAGGGACTGGTTTAAATGCAGTTGTATAGAACTCTTCAGAGCAGCAGTAGATATAGTAAAGATAGTGATGATGATATCCAACCTCCTATTGGGAGACAGCACTTAAAGAAGAAGATTGTACAATGGATCGAGGTAAAGTTATCGATTAGAAAATTTCAATCATTATTAGATTTTTTAATCCTGGAAAATCCAATTCGGAAATCGCGAATATGTTGCAATTGTCACGGTATAGTGTAAGAAATATAGCCAGAAGATACAAAACTGCAGGTCGTCACAAAACCTAGAAATGTACGAAAAATAAAATAACCGAAGCAGATCCAAGGGCATTAAGACGCATTGTAGTGAAAACTCGACGAGCAAATTATATGGAGTTTTTATGGAATGGCGTTATTGGAAGACACGTTTCTAGATCAACATGTCACCGAGAGGTCCCACAAATTAGGATTTGATACTTATCTATGTTCGATGTGATGGTTCGCATTGAACATCATGTTCCATGAAATATCTCTTGTGTTCTGAAACCAAGAGAGTTATCTTTCTATTCTGGGACGATCGGAGGTAAGCAGAAAAGTAAAATGTAGAATGTAGAGAAAGGCGCAGCAAGAAAAAAAGCTTTTTTAATAAGGGATAGTAAATTTAACCGTGGGAAATCAAGCAAAAACTTCAACAAGTGTTGCTATCCAAATCTGCAGTATGGTCATGACTACATTGTGCAAAACTACTTCCAGAAACTAAAAGAAAAAGTAACAGACTTAAAAAAATGTAACTGAACTGTTGCCATGATGAAGAAATAATACGATTGAACAACAAATACCTGAATTTGACTGTTGAGGACCGGAGAAAAGTTTTGTTAGAGTAAACGACAACTAAAAACTTGGTAATTCCATGAGAAAAAACGTTTCAGACGTTATAAAAACCTAGGAAAAATATATTTCCTATTAAATAAGTTTAGTTCATATTTTCGTTTATTTCTTACGAAAGTAATCAATTTATTTTGAAACAGTCATCAAATTACACACTTTATGGACCTACATTAGCTAGATGAACAAGTCTATAGATAAAAGTGATGTGTATATTTGCCACCCTATACTATTCCGCTATATATTCCCCTATATACTGCTTTACAAATCTAGTATGTGTAAATAGGTGTAGGGAGAGTACTATACCACAATGCCTAATATAGAACATCCCAGAGGTACTTTTCAGTGCGTCACAGTTTTTCGATTTCTTTCTAATGCATTAAGTTGGATGTGACGGAGAAAGCGGTAGTTCGGTGATTAAACAGAACTATATTGCAGCGTTAGAATAAGCTTACATACATAAGAGGTTCTTTCCTAACCTACGTTTGATTCGTTGATATTTAGATGCGCGCTTTATCTAGCCAATCAAATACGCCTATTACTGACAGTTGACGTAAAATTTCGTCCATGCTGGCCATTCTTTCGAAGTGTTCCAACAGCAAGTGACGGCTGTCGTTCAGGTCAGTATTTGCAAAGAATATAGACGCTATATAATATATTTATATTCTTTGGTATTTGTTTTATATAATTTTATTTTGTATTTTGTTTTACATAGTATTGTGATTGTAGTTTTATTTGTATTTGTACAAGATGACAAGATATACGGAAAAAGAACAAGTTCTAATATTAAAATTGCTTAAATATTTTCAATTGGAAAAGAAAGATGGACAAACATTATTACCAATTTCTGCTGTTCGTGAAGTAAGTTGAAAATTACCCTGAAAATAAAATTGTTTTATTTACTGTTTATTTCAGCGTAATGGGGACATTAGGTATGTGTATGGTATTTTTCGAAACACCATTCAATACACATAGTTTTTCACCATATTGCGACCTTTGTATTTACTTGACCTAGTGGTTCAATGGTATCATAATTGGATAACATAGAACACTATTGTCATACCATTTCTCACATAAAATTTCATTAGTTTTGTCAAATCTATAATCATATGCATTTTTCTTCATTGGCTTACTCTTCATTAGCTTTCTCCATTACTGGACATTTTACAGTTCCTGTTACCTTTACATTTTTTTGTTTCAGATATATCATTAGTTTATATGTCATGAAATGTTTATCGAAAAAAATTCATTTGTTGATGGTTCAGGCAACTGTTTCAAAATATCAATTACTATTTTAGCTTCAAGTGGTCTATTTTAATAGTACCATTTGTTTTCTTTTCGGCAACAAACGTGAAAACCATAATCATATCCAGTGGAACCAGTTATCATCCAATTCTTATATTCACATCTGACTGGCTTCTCTCTAATTAACTGTTTAGCTAAGTTATGACCAAAATATTTAACCATGGAGTTGTCTAAGGAAATATCTTTATGGAAACATCCCCACTGGCAGTATTTTTCTATAATTTTATCTGCTAAAAGTCTAATTTTGTACATACAAACGTACAAAATAGAATTTTATTTTATTTATGTAATTAATTTATAAGTTACCTAATAAATTTTTGAAAACAGTCTTTTTTGTGTTACTTATACTATGGCCAAAAAGCAGTAGTGAGAATAGAAGATATAACATCAGAAGAAATAGAAGTACAAAGAGTTGTTCGACAAGGGTGTATACATAAACCAGTATTATTTAATATGTATACTCGGAAGACATATTAAGTAAGGCAATAGATTAACGAAACGTTAATCGATTGCTGACAACTCACGACATTCGTGAGATATATGTACAGAATCAGCCTATTAAAATAGTAAGAGAATTCAAAATCCTAGATACAACTATTAATGAAACAATGACAGCTCTCAAGAAATACGATCAGAATCAAACAGCCAGAAGCGCATTTACAAGAAAACAAAGGCTTCTCTGCTGTAGAAACTTAAACCTTAAGTTAAAAATACGACTGCTGAGGTGCTACGTGCCATCCGTATTATAATACGGGATGGAAGCGTGGACACTGAAGAAAATTCAGGTGAGGAAACTGAAAGCATTCGACATGTGGATGTACCGAAGAGTACTAGAGATCTCATGGGTAGATGGAATAACCAACGTTGAGGTAATGTGACGTATGCATAAGGAAAGAGAAGTACTAACAATTAAGAGGAGAAAAGTGGGATATATGGGTCATGTGATGAGAGGAGATAAATATCTAACACTCCAGGTCATTAAGCAAGGAAAAATTAGGACAAAAAGATCCATAGGAAGGAGACGTAACTCATGTAATAACGACTTATTTAGAGCCGCTGTCTTAAAATTAAAAATCGCTGTGATGATTGCCAACTTTCGACGCGCAGACAGCCCCTTGAGAAGAAGATACAAAAATTCAATAAATGAATCATTTTGTCGTCAATTTCAAATTTTTCCATATTTATAAATTGAATAAACAATATTGTTTACTTTTTATTTTTATTAATATACGGGATTACCCCCTGTGGCTAAGTACGATCCTGGCATCTGTCAGATTCTTCAATAATTATATGAAATAATTCTCGACACACCTAATTCATTCTATGACGTCATAATTAATGACGCACTGAAAAGTACCTCTGGGATGTACTTTACTAGTTTCGCCCTGTGTACTAATTCGAACATAAAACTAAACTTTCAAATAAATTTGAAAAAATGTACTAAAAATCGTACATTACTATTATATGTATAAAAATGAATCCCTATTTTCCTATTTCACTCAATATTATAAGAAGGACTTTACCGATTTTATTCTTTTTTTTTGATACTGTGTAGAATATTCTTACGGAAAATTTTAGGAGAATTGCACAAAAAATTAAAAACTTAACGATTATTTAATTTGCACGCGTTTGACAGTTACCATGATTCAAAATTCGTTTGAGTAGAGCAGTGGTGACTGTGGTGAGAGTATCCCCGCTCCCTGCGTGTCGCCTCGCGAGTGAGCGGGACTCGATTCCCACCAGGAAGAAACTGTTTATCTTTTATTATTTTAAATCATATCGTCGTAGTTGGCTAGCTAATTAATTCTTACTTTATTATCTAGTCTATAATTGTTTTGATTTTGGTAGGTTTACGATTGATGATGAAGATGAAGAGGATAAAACGCTAGTAATTATCATTCTTACCTGGTTTGCCGCCCGAAATTCTTCGACAGTCTTCTTCTTGAGCAGGGCTTTGACCAACCGGACGATGCCTTGGGGCGAAATGAAGTTCGTTTCGACGTTGATCACCCTCAAGGTACCGTTCTCCTCGATCGCCCTGCCCAGCTTCTCCACGTGTCTGTCGGCCAGACCGCAATTCACTAACGACAACGTTTCGAGATGTGTGTTGCTACAGAGGGCCTCGAACAATCTGTCGATTTTTTCGTCTGATATATTCTGAAATAAGAAAAAAACATGCCATTAATATACATTTTTGACGTTTATGTTTATATGTATAATCTCGGAATTACAAGTATGAGGCGTATGTATGATGTGGGTTTTTCGAAGGATGCTGAAGATCTCTTGGACAGGAGAGAACTCCTATATTGTAAAACAGAAAACGAGTTATCTAGGACATATTTACAGAGGAGAAAATACAACTTCCTACGACTTATAATGGAAGGGAAAGTGGAAGGAAGAAGAGGTCCAGGAAGAAGAAAATGCTCCTGGTTGAAGAATGTAAGAGACTGGACAGGCATGAACACACATTCGATACTAAGAACAGCTCAAGATAGAGAGCAATTTGCTGTAGTTATAGCCAACCTTCAGCAATGGAGAAGGCACCTTAAAAAGAAGTAGTATAAATATATAATACAGATTAAATTATTGGAAATATGTGTAGTATCACGCTCCTAAAATATAAGGAAAATAAAAGTGGTAGTAGTATCTAATTACTGCTTTAAGTAGCAAATTTTAGTAAATAACTAACAATACTGTCCATACCCTACCCGCTGGTGTAGACATTTTCACACTTTTATTTAATATATACCTTCAAATAATTGTTGTCAATGTCTATAGATTTTATTTTCTTTGTTAAATTTGTGTATTGTTTTACTGTTCGACTTCTGAAAAAAGTTTTCCCAACCCAATTCCCCTTTTAATCATCGTATAACATTGTATATACTCTCGTATATCTTAAGTTATTTTATTTTAACGATTGATAAAACTTATCTAAACTCGTCAACTGGCTGACAGAGGCCGTGGTTCTTCTTCCAGTGTGCCCAGATCATTCCTAGAACCAAAACTGTACCAAGCTCATTACAGCGTCATCCAATCCATCCTAGCATTGGAGAATCGCCGTGAGCGACAACCACTAAGCCATAATCAAAATGCGATGGCACAACTGAACTCCATCAATATATAAAATGTGCAAATCGGCTCCACCAAGGTCCAGGTCTTGATTGCTACTGGTGCAGCAACGAATTTATCAGACCCGACTAGACTGTGTCGGTAGGTATGCAGACACTTCAGAAGGTTGTCCAGTTAACTTCCTGGCAAAACGGTTGAAGTAATCAGTCTTTTATTAGTTTTCCATGTGTTTCTTAATGGAACACATCATCACAGTGGACGAGACGGAGATTTACAGCTACGTTGACTTGGACACGAAGGTCAAATATCACAATGGAAGTCAACACAAAAATCAGCATAATTATCAGCTCTCCACCCCTCTACTCAGCAGACTTTGGGCGGAAAGAAAAATTGTTGAAGGAATTGAATAGACATGTCAAGAGACATGATCAGCGTACTGTCAAGCTGGTCAGGGTAAGGAACCTAAAAGAAAAGCGGCCACTTAGAAGACCAATGATGCGGTGGAGAAATAACACCTATAATAAAGATAATAAAGATGATAAAAGACCTTTCGAAAAGTGTGTATTTTTTATGTCAGTCTTTTCAAGGAGATGATATTTGTTACAATTTTTTTAAATAATAGTGTATCATTTTTTCCCATTCTGTATAAGGTTTTTAATTCACGTCTTACAAATATTCGAAAGAGAAACTTGAAAATTGCGTCTCAAAATCTTCGAAGAAAAACACAAAGTGTCTCTTCGAGTAAAAATACATAATCCAATTTCTTGTTTACATTGCCAGATGCCTCTGCCGAGATAGTTACTGCATTTCTCTTCATTCGTTTTCTATGTTTCGCCCATAGTACTTTTTAAAATAATTTGTGAGTTATCAAACAAGATAAGCATGATATCGAAAAATATAAATAAGATATTCAAGGTTAAGTGGAACTCTCTTCACTTCTTCCCTTATGGCAGAAGTTTAACGGCGGAGATTGAGAGATTTTATTAGGTCATTCCCATTTAAACCGTCAGGGAATGAAGTTGAGGTCTGAGGCTGGCCTTTGGCCAGTCATCTAGTACTGGAATTATCCCAGTATGTCTTGAAACTTTTGATCGCCCATCGTATATAACATTATGAGGAAACAGTAGCAGCAGGGACAGTATGAAAGAAATGTAAAAATGGAGTAAAAGTAATAGTAATTCTGTAGAAGACCCTGTAGATCTTCTGTAGATTATTGTTATTAGGTGTCGGGTATTTTGTATTTCAAAACTTAGTTAGCTACTCATAGGGCCTCCAGTATTACAAACAACCTTAGAAAAAGCAGTATTCCTTGCCAATAGCAGTATTTTGAAGGAGATAATGTTGAAAGATTTATAACAGTTTGTTACAAAATTTCTAAATATTAGTCTTGAAAGTTTTGATCGCCCCTCGTATATACTTATAAGAAAACAGTGGCGGCGAGGAGAAAAGGGTTAAAGACCACCACAAAATAGTTCAAAATCGACAAAATACAAAAAATGAATGAAATTTAATAAATAAAAAATTTAAGAAAAGTAAATAGGAAATAGTGATAGAGACCGTGGTAATTCTGTAAAAGAAGACGAAATTTGTACATTATTGTGATCAGGTATCGAGTCTTTTGTGTTTCAGAACTTAGTTGGATTCTCAGAGTGCCTACAGTAGTACAAACAACGTTGGGGCAGCAGTATTCCTTACCAGTGGTAGTACTTTGAAAATAATAATGTTGAAAAATGTATAACAGTTTGTTACAAAGTTTTTAAATATTACTCTTGAAACTTTTAATCGCCTCGTACATACTTAAAAAAAGGCAGCGAGAATAAAAGAGTTAGAGACCACCACTAAAATAGTTCAAAAAACAACATAATACAAAAAATTAATGAAATTTAATAAATAAAAAACACAGAAAAGTAAATGGGGATTAAATGTTACAGAGAACTTGGTAAGTTAATAGAGGAAGACGAAATTTATACATTATTGTAATCAGGTGTAAAAAATTAAAACAAGTAAAAAATACAAAATAAAACAAATAATATTCGTTTTCCACTCACTTTAATATTGTTCCAATTTAAGTCGATGAACTTGCCATCGTCGTCTTGAACTTTCTTGACCGTTTCGTCTGTGTCTGTCATATTAGGTGGATCCATGGGGAATAGTTTGGGTTTGGAGGCTTTTGTGATGCCGTCCCAACCTAAACCGACCGGTTGGCCTTTGTTTAGAAGCGACGCATGGTATTGATCTTGGTTCATCATAGAATGGAAACCAAGGATAGCTAAAATATTAATATTATTCATTATATATCTTAATAACGGTAGGTATATATCTATATAAAAGGCTAGGACGAAAAGTCACACTGTTTGTAAGGTAGGGTAACTATGCCATCTAGGAAAGAAATCTGATCTACCAACTGACATTTCAATATACTGAGTCAATCATATTTTGTTCTTGAAACGATACGTTTAATTGATGATACTAATGATATTAATTACATTACATGTTTAATGAGTCCACTAAACAATCCATGAAGAAAATTTGTATAATGAATTCCATATTAAACTCAATATTGTTCTGAAGCTATTTTCTTGTGGCATTTTAAATTAATTACTATTTAACTTTAACTATAAAACAAAAGTTTTTTTTACTGTTTGTATTTTGAGAACGATTTCCGAAGTGAAAATTGAAACGTCAATAAACGTATTTTTATCTTTAATTGTGGCTTATTCCCAGTTAAATAGTAATTAATATTAAACCCAGATATGTAACAGAACTTTTTATGTATGAAGGAGAAGGTTTAGAAACTATTTTAACCAATCAAAGTGGCCGTAGAATTGAAATTGTATTGGAATCAATCAGCGGTACTCCGAATAGATGGAGAATATACAGAACAGATCAAAATCTTAAGAGGAATGAGACAGGTGTGCATAATTTCACCATTGATATTCAATCTGTACTCGGAGCACATTTTTGAAGAGGCCCTAAAAGATATTGATGAAGGCATCTCAATAAATGGAGTCAAGCTTAATAACCTGCGGTATGCAGATGATACAATAGTGTTTTCCAATACCATAGAAGGGCTGCAAAACTTAATGAACAAAATAACAGAAACAAGTAGAAACTATGGACTGGATATAAACACCAGCAAAACCAAGCTAATGATCATCAGCAAGCAAAACATAACTGGAGCAAATCTGTATGTGAACCAAATGAGAATTGAACGTGTCTCACAATACAATTACTTGGGAACTATAATCAATGAGTCGTGGGACAATACCCAAGAGATTAAATGTCGCATCGGAAAGGCCAAAAGTGCATTCTTGGCTATGAGCTCTGTGTTTAAAAGCCATGACCTCACCCTGAAAACAAAAATAAGGCTCCTTAAATGTTACGTGTACTCAGTGCTTCTGTATGGAGTAGAAACGTGGACATTGAAGGCGGAAACTCTATCAAAACTTCAGGCGTTTGAATTATGGTTATACAGAAGAATCTGAAGATACCATGGACAGACAAAGTCACCAATGAAGAAGTACTGCGGAGGATGAACACAACCGCGGATTTGGTCAACATTGTGAAGAGCCGTAAGCTGGAGTACTTGGGACATATAATGAGAAATCAAGGCAGATACGAGCTACTCCAATGCATTTTGCAGGGTAAAATTGAAGGAAAAAGAGCCCCAGGACGAAGAAGAATATCCTGGCTTGCTAACCTGAGAGCATGATATAGAAAGACCTCAACACAGCTATTTCGTATAGCAACCAACAAAATCATCATAGCCAGAATGATCGCCAACGTTCGGAACGGACAGGCTCCCTAAGAAGAAGAAGAATTGAAAAGATTCAACCGTTCTAATCTACAGCAACTTCTATAACCTAGCGAGAGATCAAAACGAAGACAATTTTGAAGATGAATTGCTAAATGAAGGCATACTATCAAGCATTCTTTGAAAAAAAATCTGTCTTTCAAAGACTGGCTTTGAAAAAATTAATTTATGGATACGTATTAAATATTACACCCTGTATATAATTTTTTTTAAATTCAATAAGTGATTTTCAAACTACATAAATAGCCAATAAAAACGACATATGCGACAATGTTGTCGCACTTTTATTAAATTTTTAGTGAACGATCAAATCTCACCAAAAATAGAACAACCATAATGAAGTATCAAATTATAAGGTAATTAATTTAAACAAATGTTATAAATTTCAAACATTTTAATTGAAATGATAAACTGAGTCACTGCACAACAAAAAACAGTAACTACTAACAATAACGAAGAACAATTAAAAAAAAAACTAAAAATATGTACATAGTTATGATAAACCCATAAATTAGAACTGGAAAAGATACAATAATGGTAACAAAATAAAAATAATTCAAAATAGATTTTCGAAATGGAAACCCTGCAGCTGTACACATTTTTGTTGCCGAATTGTTAATTGACGTATTGAATTACGGATACTCTGGGGATCGTTTCTAATAGTATTACAACAATGTATAATTCTATCAATTAATTGTTGTCGGTTATTAATATTCACTGCGTAAACTAGTTGCTTCAATCGTCCCCAAATATGGTAATCAACGGGATTGAAATCAGGGGATCTTGAAGGCCACGAAATAGGACCTGCACGTCCTATCCACCTGTTGCCATAAACATTATTGAGATGTTGTCTCACTGCCAGTAAAAAGTGTGGGGGTGCCCCATCATGCTGAAAATACATCCCTCGGATAGCAACGTTCGCGTTGGCAAGCAAATTCGGCAAAATATTTTGTAGAAAGTTCAAATAGACCTGCCCTGTTAAAGGACCATCAAAAAAGTGAGGACCTACTAATTGGTTATTTATGACACCAATCCACACGTTAACCGAAAACCTTAACTGAGAACGACGTTCTCGAATAGCATGGGGATTTTCTTCTGCCCACACATGTGAATTTCGTGAATTATTTATCCCGTCTCTGGTAAATTGGGCTTCATCTGTAAATAGTGTCCTGTATAGCGTTGGTCGATTATTGTTAATCCATCTACAAAATTCCAACCTATCGATCTCATCTCCAGCATGTAGTCGCTGAACCATTTGAATGTGATATGGGTATAGATTATTTTTTTGTAAGACTCTACTTACTTTTGATTGAGTAACATTGAGTTCTCGACTTACTTGTCTAGTGCTTATTGTAGGGTTCATAGTAACGGCGTCCATAATGTCATCTTCCTGCGCTTCATCTACATGTCGCTCTGTTGTTCCACTAGGAAAAAGTGCCATTTTCTCGCAAATAATTAAAAACTGACCCAAATGTTGGATGACTGGGAGTTCGACGATTAGGAAATCTCCTGCGATATTCTCTACTAGCAGCCCTACCATTCCCATTACAGAATCCATAAACAAATATTATGTCTGCATATTCTGTGGTCGAAAACTGATGTGGCATTTTGAACGAAAGTAACAAAAGCTCTACCAAAACTAACACAATGTACTTAACGTAGATATGACAGAAGAAATATGTATTCTTGTACACATAAATAACAATGATATGACATAATGACAATGGGTATAAAATATCAAGAAACGTCAAACGGTCAACGCCAACCTTCATTTTAAACTTTTTTAGATTTATTTTTATTTAGTACAGTTGATGCAATGTATTATTATTTGACATAAAATTTTAATCATTTACAATCAACAAAAACTAACACATACAAGAGGTTTGACTTTTTAATCAATTTAATTTATTATTTATCGAAAATAATGCCCCAATACGATCTATGAGTAAAAATTTAAAATTGAAAAACAATTGATTCTATCGTAGAGATAATACAAAGTGACAGTAAAGATGTTAATTTTCTACGTATTAGATTATGTTGTAGGAACTCATTTTAATTAAAATGTTTGAAATTTATAACATTTGTTTAAATTAATACCTTATAATTTGATACTTCATTATGGTTGTTCTATTTTTGGTAAGATTTGATCGTTCACTAAAAATTGATTAAAAGTGCGACAAGTACAGGGTGTAATATTTAATACGAATCCCTAAATTAATTTTTCCAAAGCCAGTCCTGGAATTTTTTAGTTTAGCTAATACCAGTCGAATGCTTGATAGTAGTGTACTGTATCATGCAAAAATTAAAAAATCAAATGAGCCGTATAAACACTACAGCAAAATGAAATAAATGGTCAATTACACAAATCACCCTGTTAATTAATAAAGAAGAGGAGTTGACATTTTTTAGTGGCCACATGATATGCTCCTGAGGGATATTATATTTATACGAGAAAATTTGGATACAAAGGAGGGATACTGGAGGTTTGGATATGTTGGAGGGGAAAAGGAAGTGCAACAGAAAGCGAGATATTGATGGGTAGGAGGTGTACAATATAGAGCGTAGAGGATTGATGAAATAGATAGGCAAACAGACGAAACAAATAGAATAAATAATGAGCTAGGAATCTGTGAAAGAAGCGGAAGAAAAACGATGTCCAGATCTGGAGGCAAAACGAGAAGAAACAAAAAATACAGTGTAAGCTGAACGGAATTTTTGTTACTGGTTGATAAATCAAACTTACCGGCTAAGTCTATAATTTCCTCCTGTGAAGCATCAGTCAAGGCTTGTTCATATTCATCTCCTAAATCTACTGCGATTTGTTCTTCAGCCTCTTGTTCTTTCGCTGGCGGAGGCGGAGGAATCCACTACAAAAAATGCACATTTATATCATTTCAGTCGTGAAATATAGAAAAAAATTGCGAAATTGGTCGGATTATCATCAAAAAGTAAGGTTTTTGTTCTCTTAATTTTTCGTAAACTATAACATATTTGTTAATGTTTGACAGCAAGCTAAAAATTCGAAAAGTCTAATCGCGGTTGCATAAAGTAAATAGTTCACAGCAATGAAGTTAAAACAAACAATTCTTTGGCACTAAAATGATAAAAACTAATATTACTGAATCAATTCAATGAGCATTACCATTTCTTCATGTTAAAGTTATTTTAATAACTAAATTAAACCTATTTTAAGACTACTTTTCGTCCATTTTATCTTTTGCGCATGCGTTTCCTCCATTTGATGGCATTTGTTAGCTTGTTTAATTGTCATGTTAATGGATTAACATAATTTTAAACTTCCATCAACTTCTTGGAGATAAACTCACGAAATAGTTGAAACAAATATCTGACCTGTAGTAAGACGTTAGGAAAGCTATATTTTATAATTGGCAATCTTAATCAATTTTAATCATAATTAATAAAAATTTAAATGGGTAACTTTCATGTTTTTTTATACAGCAATAAATTTACAGAATTTTATAAAAGTTAGGTTAAGTGAGGTTATAATTTTTAATCAAAATTAAACTATATTTACTTATTTCATACAACTGCTGCGAATATGAATGAAATATATCATTTCATAGTGTAAATTTCTTAGTATATTAGCAAAAACTTACTTTTTTCCCTCGTACCATGCCAGCAACGTAAGGTTCCAATTCAGGTATATCAGGGGTTTCTATAGCTTCCTTATTTATATGCTCTATTAACTTTTTCCTATTGAGGGGCCCCGTTGGATCCTTATCACATTCATAACTAGTCCTTTGGGAGGGAGGTAAAAAACTATCCTAAAATAAGTTAAGAAAACTATGAAAAATTCCTTCATTATGACAGTTTATATTGGATTATTGTGAATTTGGTGGATAAATTTACAATAACCCCAATAAAAATTCAATAATGACATTAGTAAGTTATGGTCACCATATGAATGGACTCGTGGTTTCTTTTAATGAACTTTTAGCAGACTTTAGTAGTAACAAAACTTTTCAAAACATAACAAGAGAGAAAATTTTGCACGCATTATACTTAGTTTGGGAGGAACACAAATTAAAATATGTGCTAACTGTGTAAACTGACAAGAGAAGGCACTAATATTTGTCTATCTGGAGAAATATGTTGTGGTTACAAATGCTCATCAACATAATGGCCTTCTAAGCCCGAGCGCACGAGTTCGATTATTGGCACCAACGACAAGGTATTCCTTTCTAAAAATGATACGAGCCGTCCATCGTGCTTCGGAGGGTAGGTAAAGCCGATGATCCCCTGGGCTAGTTTGTATCGACACTATAATAGCGACTTGAAACATGATTAAAGATAACAAACAAGGCACTTGTGCAATAGTATCTCCCCAGTACAAATGCCATATGATATTATTATTACGATTATCTTTACAAACTCTCCTCAAGTAACACGAAAAGGACATTTACCAAGGAGAACCCTCTCTAACCTTCTATGTAAGTACAGCCATAACAAGATTAAAAAGGTAGGAACTCCTACCTAAAATGAAGAACCTGGATGCAATACATATTCTACTATAAAATAACCAAATACCTATTCCAACCCAAATAGCTATACCAAACCAAGTACAATTTCCTAGTCAATTAACTGCACAAAATATTTAAAATACTAAAACCCTATTCAGTCCCAATACACAACAGTATCCACAAACCCTCAATGCTCACTCTCATCATCACAAAACACCAATAACTACACGGATAGCGATAAAACACAAAACAGATTTACTTCCCTCTCAAAAGAAAATCTAGATGAAAAACAGACAGTTTATCAGATACACAAAACACAAATATAACCAAAAAAATCCCTCACCGCCACCAATCTATATTTATGGAGTCCCTGACTATAGTGCTATGATAGCAAACCTTTCAACTGCCACTGAGGCAGCAACCTATTACACCAAAACCATTTCAAATAATACAGTAAAAATTAACCCTACAAACTCAGACACCTACAGGACACTCATACAGCACATTAGAAAAGAAAACATTGTACATCACACTTACCAACCGAAACAAGAGGGGGCCTATAGAGTTGTCATAAGAGGATTACACCATTCAATACCCACAGGAGATATCTCACATGAATTAAATAATAAGGGTTTTAAAGTTCACAACATAATTAATGTTAGATATAGAGTTACCAAAGAACCATTGCCCTTATTTTTTGTGGATATAGAGCCAAAAGAAAACAACAAAAACATATTTAAACTGCAAGTCCTACGAAACTGCATAATAACAGTACAACCATCTAAAATAAAAAATACAATAGTACAATGCACAAGGTGTCCAAAATACGGGCACTCAAAAAGTTACTGCCTGAGGCCATTCGCCTGTGTTAAATGCGGTGGATCACATGGCACAAAAACCTGCTAAAAAGCACGTGACACACCAGCAACATGTGCCTTAGGTAATGGCAATCATCCAGAAAACTATAAAGGATATGCTATATATAAAGACCTAGTAAATTCGAAAAACAAAAATATAACTATCTACCTCCTCCTTAAATCATACTTATCCGACAGATACTTCCAAGTTAAATACGAAGGTGCTCTATCCAACTACGACCAAATTAAATTCGGAGTACCTCAAGGCAGTGTACTTGGCCCATTCCTTTACCAAATCTTCACTGCCAATCTATTAGCAAAAATACACTAATGGCAACATTTGCGGATGTCACTGGTATAGTAGCATCAGACATCAACGAAATATTAGAATTTATCAAATTGCAAAATCATCTCAATGAACTAGAAGACTGGCTTAAATGCTGGAAAATGACAAGACTGGCAAACAACAATCTTGTCAAGTAAATTTCACAAATCGAAGAATTAGATGTCCACAACTACACCTAAATAATTCACCTATACCAATAAAAACAAAAGCAAAAGAAAAATTTACTTGAAGACTGGCTTAAATGCTGGACAATGACAAGACTGGCAAACAAGTCTCGTCAAGTGAATTTCACAAATCAAAGAATTACATATCCACAACTACACCTAAATAATTCACCTATACCAATAAAACAGAAGTAAAGTACCTGGTCCTTCATCTAGATGAAAAACTTACTTGGAAATCACATATTGCAGCCAAACGACGATACCTCGACCTAAAAGTTAAAAATATGAGCTGCTAATCAACAGAAGATCGCAACTTTCATTAGAAAACAAACTGACCATCTATATAACAATACTCAAACCAGTGTGGACATACAGAATTGAGCTGTGGGGCTGTAGCAAACCATCCAACACCAAAATACTACAGACATTCCAGTCAAAAACTATTCGTATGTTAGCTAAAGCCCCATGGTATGTGTGAAACCAAACCCTTCATGCAGACCTCAACGTCGCCTTCATCAAGGATGTGATTGCTGACCACACCACAAGATACATGAATCGCAGCGCAGGCCATCCAAACTATCTCATAGACGAATTATTCAACCCCCCACTGGTTGACAGACGTCTAAATTGACTTAGCTGCTAGGTAAATTCCAGAGAGTAAGCATTTTAAGAGAATTACCGGCGGGAATTTTCTCCCCGAGAATATTTCCGTTCTCAAAAATATTCTTCTGAGAATATTCTCGCCCCATATCACCAAGTTAATCTAAACCTAAACCGTGGATAAAGAAAACATTGTAGAGAATAACGGCTGTTAAGAAGGGAAGAAAAGAAGAAAAAAATAATTGGAGAGAGAACTAAACTTTTTCAAAAGCAAAATCCTGGCCCCTTTAACAGCAGATTCTAAAGCAGACATCACTGCTTATATAAAATTGCTAGTTTCTTGTATTTCACTATAACTTTACAAGAAAAATTAGCATACATTTCAATATTTAAATTTACTATCAGCATCTTCAATCGCAGTTGTTTACGATTTCAATAAACAACAAAATTTGCATTTTTAGTTTATATAAATATACTAGTGATTAAATCATTTATCAATGTTTCTGATGTTTACTGATTATTATTAGATTAAAACATTTTATCTTATATTCAGCAAGGTCAGAGTTTGAGTTAAATCATACCAAAAGTGTCAAGGATAATGGTCAAATAAATTTCACACAGGAAAATGTGGAGAATAATAATTTTTTGTAACAAATAACAGATTTAACACAATTATTCTGTGTTGTATTATTATCAGCTCAGAATTTGGAATAGGACAAGTACAGTTAGAAAAATAGTAACTCATATAGGCGGTGTACTGAAAAAAAGGGATAGCAAAGAGTGATAATTGATTTCTTTTTATTCCTTGGTTTATGAAGGAGATAGTACTTATATGGCAGAATGAATGGGTACCAGAAGAGTGGCTGAAGGGAATAATATGTCCGTTGCATAAAAAGGGTGATCAACTGGAGTGTAAGAACTATAGAGGCATTAATCTGTTAGCATCTGCGTATAAAATCTTCGGCAATGTATTATTTGAAAGACTTAAACATTTTACAAAGGATATTGTTGGTCAATATCAATGCGGATTTACTGCTGGAAAATCAACTACACATAAAATTCAAGCACATAGGCAGATTCTAGAAAAGTCACTAGAATATAACATAGATATACACCATCTCTTCATTGACTTCAAAGCAGCCTATGACAGTGTGAAAGGAACTGCATTATATAATGCAATGATAGACTTTGGGATCCCACCGAAGTTAGTTAAGTTGACCCAACTAACAATGCAAAACGTAAGCTCATGCGTTAGAATTGAAGGTTCTATGTTCTTTGACATTAATAATGGTCTAAGACAGGGGGACGCGTTGGCGTGTCTGCTCTTTAACCCTTAAACGGCTAGCGTTACCATATCGTAACGGTAGACAACCTCATTTTAGAAGTGGCAACACAGCTTTTGGTTCCATCGGAATGCGTTGGTTATTTGTCAACACGCTTTTAGTATGTGAATGAACACATTGTTGGGTACAACGTCAACGTAAAATCTTTTTGGCAGTTTTATTCAAATTTTAAAAATTGTGGTAACAGTTACGAGCTTCCAAAGATGGACATCCGTCTAGAGTAAGTATTACTAAAACTTCTTTTTTGAATTGTTATGAAAAATACTTACAAAAGAGTATTTATAGATAGTTATTCTTCAGTTCTAGACCAAATTTTGTTATGAAAGTATTTCAAGTTCTATAATGTAACCTCAGAAATATTGGCGTTACCGTATGGTAACGCTAGCTGGTTTAGGGAGACAAAAAATATTGTACGTGTATAAATGTCTTGCGTGTTGAGTATGTGGTATATATGCGATCAGAAAAGCTAGGACTCTTGTTTATGTATTAATAATTGTCTAGTATATTCATTTGTTACTTTTAGGCGTGGGTTTACGCTGGAAGAAGCATTGCAAATGGTTTATGAAGAAGACCTGGACGTTCATGAAATATTCATCGAGCCTCCTGATGCGAATGTCCTTACCGATGAGGATTCTGGTGATGAAGATGGTGGCGGATTTCTAGATAATTTAAGCGGTCGACAGTTGACACCAGGAGCTGAAATCGTCCCTCCTCGTGCTGTCAGAGCTTTTATCGATGTACCTGAATCGGAGCCAGTGTCAAATATCGTCCGCCCTGGGTCAGAAAAAATATCCTGGATTGAAGGTGACTTTGAACGTGTGAGCAGGTATTTTCCTAAACCAGATTATAGTAAATATAGTGATATGGACTATTTAGATATATTCGAGATGTTTGTTGATAGCGAAATAATTGAACTACTTGTGACCGAATCAAGAAAATACGCACTTTTCTGCAATAAACCGGATCCAAACATTTCTAACGAAGAAATGAAATG